CAATGGGCACCCTGTGGAGGCTGAGTGAGGCAGCCCACATTGAGTTGATGACCAGAACCCGAACAGCTGGAGACTTTTGAGCTTGTGAACGGGTGCATATTGTTGTACAGATTTACACCTTTAGGAACTCATGTGGGCAGTTGGAACCCTGTCCAGCAGAGTCTTCTTCTATGAGTTGGAAGTGACTCGATAGCAGTGCTCGGTTTGGGTTTTGACTATGTAGTTAAACAATGGCAATGTGAAGATAACATGGCTCCTTGGTCCAATATATCACATGACTGATGAAGCAAAATACAAGTAAGTATATTACAACAACAGTTGGTATCCACGCAAAACACAGTTAACACATGGAAGTTTCACTGAACTGAAATTTGAGTAAAGTCTTAAAGGCAAGTCGAAGAAATAGAAAGAACAGGCATTCTAAAAGGTTTTTTTCTTCCTTTTCTTAATTAAATGTGTGTTCTGAAGCAATCATTTCCTCTTGATCTTAAATAATTTTAATTAGTCTGATTCTGTTTCCTATTAGATGATGCCATGCTACTAATAGTAAATAGAATTGTGTGATGGTGTGATTAGTAAAGTCTGTATTTCTTTCCACATTATGTACTTAAATGGGACTTGATATTTGTAGAGCTTCTGATTACTGAAAATCAGTCTTGAGTTCACATTTTTTTCCACCACTTTTCCAAACTCACCATATTTTTAATTCTATGCCAGAATAATATTGTGGCTTTCCATAATCCTCACCTATTGTGTATTTGTTAATTTTTTTAATGATATAGGTTTATCTTAAGAACCCAAGGGAAAAAGTAAAATAAAAGAACAACCCAATGAGTAAGATTAAAGTTTATCATGACGCCCATACAACTTCATGTTGCATGTTATCTGAGATTATTAGAATGTGGCCAATCTCTGAGCTGTCTTATTAAAATATAAAGTCTTTAAAGCAAACTGAAAGAAACTCAGTATGTACCTGTAACCTCCATTTAGCAGAGTTCTCTGAAATAGTACTTGAAGTACACTACACGTCCACAGCTGTGGATCAGTCATAAGAATACAGCATATGCTACTTGGAAGATCAACTTATCCAACTACTCTGGAGGGCAGAACGTTTTAGAAACGTACACACTCTGAATGCACAAATTCATTTCCAGGAATTTACCCTAAAGAAGAAAAAAGATTAATGTAGAGTTATGCTATGAGCCTCGGTGGCTCAGTGGTTATGCTGTTGGTGGGTAGCCACAAAATCAGCAGTTCGAACCCACCATCCTCTCTGCAGGAGAACAACCTCGTGTCCAGCCTTCTTCTGTAAATAGAACAGCCTTGGGAAACCCTGTGGGGTAGTTTAATTTCACAGGGTTGTTAGGAATCAGAACCAGCTCAACAGTAATGGTTTTGGTTTGGTTAGGAATACAAAGTTTCGGATGGAGCCCTATTGGTGCTACTGGGTATACGTTGGGGTGCTAGCCCCAAGGTCTGCGCCACTCCCCAGGAGACTGATGAGCCTATCCGCTGCTCACATGATGATTATAGCCTTGGAAGGCCTCTACACATAGGGTCACTATGAGTCCAAATCGACTGGCTGGCTGTCGGTGATTGGGTTATATTTAAGGATATATTCAGTGAAGTATAGTTCCAGGATACTAAAAAGTTAATCGTGGTCTAAATTTTTTATGAGAGGTTAAACCGATGTAATAAAATATTATAAAGTAGAAGTATCTAAAACTAAATGTACTAAGATAAAAAACAATCAAAGCAAATTACTAAGTAAGAAAGCCAGGCAATATTATATTATGTATTACTGCATTATCCAAACCAGTAACCAGTAGTTATATATAAATAGTTTCATTAAAATTTAATTAACCTAAATTAATTAAATTTCATTTCCTTCATTGCACTAGCCAAATGTCAAGTGCTCAACAGCCATATATGCCTAGTGGTCATATGACAATTTTGGATAGATGAGATATAGAATATTTCCATTATTACAGAAATTTCTATTAGACATAGTTCACATATCCTATCTTGAAAGAAAGAAAAAATGAAAATGGAATAATGTATACATAGTAAAATGACTGCAAAAGTTAATAATTATCACCAACTAACAGTCCTCTGGATTTTTAAGTTCTTGCTCACATATTTTCTAATGTGAGTAAATCTGTCATTCGCTACAGTGAATTCTGGTGTAATGAAGCCTGTTTTCAGAGGGGAAAAAACCCATAAAGGTATAAAAAACATCATATACATAAATATTTGATTTTTTTCAAAAGGAGAAATTGTGAAAGAAAATTGTTTAAGTTGCT